AGATTTAATATCCAGATTATGATTGGATAGCTAGTTACGAGCTGCCAAAGTTTAAGAAAAGTAAAAACCACGATAAAAAATTCAACTTAGAATTCTATTAAAAAAATTTACAAGATGATATTGGATTGCCTTAAAATTAATTATCTTAAAACATTTTTAGCTTCTCTTATTTCCAATGAATATATCACATTCGTCAAAAATTCAAATTTTACGGAAGAAAATGGAATAATAATACAAAAATTATCCACTTCAGATTATATCACCCCTCCCGTGCCGCTTCCATATCTCTGACTGAGTGAAGCGCTCAAACTATAGTAAATAATTTCAGGTAAGATACAATACAACACCATTATTGCTCTTCGTTCGTTTCAGCCGAAAGACGTCCACTGCTGGACAAAGGCCTCCCCCAAGGATTTCCACAAAGACCGGTCCTGCGCCGCTCGCATCCAGGCACCTCCCGCGACCTTCACCAGATCGTCGGTCCACCTAGTGGGAGGCCTGCCCACGCTGCGTCTTCTAGCTCGTGGTCGCCACTCAAGAACTTTCCTGCCCCAGCGGCCATCAGCTCTTCGAGCTATGTGCCCCGCCCACTGCCACTTGATTTTAGCGATTCTGCGGGCTATGTCAATCACTCTGGTTCTCCTACGGATCTCCTCATTTCTGATTCGATCACGCAGGGAAACTCCGAGCATAGCACGCTCGCGTGTGTGTGTTGCCAGTGATGGTGTACGCTTACTATGGGCCTCATAAGAAGGCTCAAGGTCACCCAAAGAGCGATTGCTCTTCATTCTGCTTTAATTTTTCGGAACACTTACCAATACTTACAGAATAAGCAGTCTCAAGATGTCAATCGGCCTTTTGCTGCGTCCTGAGAAAACCGGAAGGTCGTTTGTTGATGCTAAGTGTATCTTTCGACTATTATCATTTTCTATTGTTCGTCTTCCATCCCTTAGACGAATCCAACTCGGATCCCCAACAAAACCAAGTGATTTTATTTTGAGACTCGTTAGATGTGGTAAAACGTGCGGTCCATACTCAATTCATGCTGCTAGTAACAGTAAAATAAATTTTATTTTACAGAACAATTTTACTTGCTTAGATCGGTCATTATTCTTCTCAAACTCCTTTGCGGCACTTGGATTATTTTAGCCGTTTCATAAGAAAAGTTCAATAAGAAGAATGTATAATTGAAATCAAACATCGTATACCCCTGGGTCGGACTGTAGCGTAGAAATGCATTTATAAAATAATGTAGAACCATACTTCATTCAGTTTGCAGTACAATATTACGTATTATGTCTACAACGTCTGATTCCAACTGTTTCCAACAACAACCAAACCAAAGTCAATCAACCTAAGTGGAGGTGAGGCTTAAAGCCTTTACGCGAGGGTGCGGCGCGTGAATGTACTTCGATTGTCAAATTTTATGGTAACGTTATGGTACACTCTACTATTATGCACCGGTTAGGGGATTCATGAGGCTATGATATTTAAGCAAGAACATTTTAATCAAATGTATTCCTGCAACCTTTCACAGACGTGATTGTAGGCTACACAAAGCAAATATACAATACAAGAAATTTAATTCCATGTCTGCCGTACATTTTCACGTCATTTGCTCTGCTACATTCAAATATTAAATCTAAAAGATGTGCCCGTTTCATTGGACACAACCCTCCACGTCGAGCAAAAGGCTTTTCAATGCTAGAGTAAGAAAATATCAAATACCTGACCCAATAATGTTAACAGTAACTAAACGCAAGTAATTTAGCGGAGCCTTCTGTGTGGTCCGTGCCGTCAATTAAACGCTGAGACGCGGTCGGGCTGCAAATGGCCGAACTGCAAAGGGCTACGAAATGCAGCGTCGATGGAGCCCGGGACCCGCTCGATATTTCATTAGGTTTTTGCTTGATTCTCTTAACGGGCAAAATGTAAATGCAGATAATTGGAAACTGTTTTAAACAAACTCTAGCTCTTTCAGCTTTAAGCGGGTGAAGTATTAATGTCGAATATTTTTTACTTTGAGAGAAAGAGCTACCTATAGGTAGATATAGTATGAAAGCGCGCGGCAGTAAACTTTTTTCGACATTTATTTAAAATTTAAGATTCATAAAATTCATTTATTTTTGCAAATAGCTTTTAGAAAGCACTTTTACACGTCCCAATATTAACCCTACCACTGCTTCGGGACAATAAATGGGCCAGTGCTGAGAAAAAGCACTGGCCCATTTTAATTTAAGCTGTAACTGTTGCTCCGTCTTATTTATTAAAACTTAAATATACGGCTCTGAAAACCAAAACATAAACGTGAACAAAGTCTACATTGAATTTAGTCAATAGTTGCCAAAGCCAACACTCGGCAATAATTCGTCAAAGCGAGGCGTAACGGCTATTTGCCCGCAGTTTTGCGGAGTTCGCCTTCGGCCAATCGCTTCGGAAGTTGCGCTTTGACTCCAAGCACTCCAGGAGTCCAGACAGACCACTGTTCCTGAATTAATACCGTGGTGAAGTGGAGGAAAATTTATTGATAGGCAGAATTTCAATAAATAGGACATTAAATGTATAACCTACAATTTGTAAACATCAAACCTGAAAAAAAATCTTATCTTGTAAGGTACAAAGTAATAGGTAAAGTTCAAATCCTGATAAGTAGTCGTATTATACAAAAAATGATTATGTTTACAAATTAATTAGCTAGTAGCCAATATAGCTGTGGGTGTATGTTTTTTACTACGGAGTGTAGGTACCCCATTTTCGAGTAACACTTAGATTTTGTAAACGTTTACTTACTTTAATAAAATAATTCACCGTTCTTTGTTAAGATTCGTCTTCAACGTCACTCCCTTCACACAGAATGCTAACCCATACAGTAAACAGTCTACCTTTACCTCACCAAACATCCCAGATGTCCTACAGAGAGGCAGAAACCTAAATGCATCCTTAAAGCATTGTTATTTCGAATTCGACGGTCTATTGTTTTTGCGTACGACAAAAACAAAAACAATAGCGCAAGACAATACAACTAGACAAGCTAGAATACAATATACATAGGGTTTTCCAATAACACCATACAGAGACATCATAATAGAACAAAATCCTCTAAAGGCCAAGACGAAATGAAGGAATCAACAGAGTTCCTGTAACACTGTATTTGTGAGGGGATTAGGATTCCAGATTGTGGATGTGGACGATACTGTGGTTAGTGCTTGAGATTAACAATTGTGTTCGAGTTCATGCAAAAGCTTATAATATAATAATCCTGTCGAAATACAATATGTTAACAGTGTATACGTTATCGTAAGGTTATCCTGGAGTTAACTACTGCAGTAGATGGTGAATATTAGGACCCTTGATAAACATAATATTCTTACTAATTATCATAAAAAACCGCTATTAATTAGAATCTCATATTCTTAGCAAATGTTAGAATATTGCACGTGATAATGAACCACCCATTGAATTCCTTTCCTAGCGCCCTCGAAGTCATTACTAAATATATCTTCCGCCACTTGGTGTTTCTCGCCATTTTAAATGGTGTTATTTATTTTCCTCGCTTCTATTGGGCGCGTTTTCTTTTTAAGAAAAATCCGTTGGCCCTACCCGCGCTGAATTTCGATTAGAAAAAGACAAAGAAGCGATTGTTGGACGGACTGGAAGTGGGGAATCAATTAAAGAGTACCATCGATTCTCTGGTGCGATAATGTCTGTCAGGGGTAAGCGAAATGGGAGATAAGATTGTCGGCTCCTCGCCGACCCGCCTCGAACTCTGTCTAATTATTTTTAAAACGCTTATCGTAAATTCACCCATCGCTTCATTTAACACAAGTCTCAAACAAACTCCAATCTCATTTTATACTAATTTATTTAATATCCTCATTATTTACATCTCCAAAATCACAATCTGTACAATCATGCTGAACGCAAATAACCTAGTGATAAATCTCTTATTCATAATAAAAGATACAATTTTATACATTAACTATTTAGGTCGATTAATTAACATACATTAGTATAAAGGTATATCGTTAAAATTTATCCTTTTTATTATTGTGCAATAATTTATATTTACAAGTAACCAACAAGCGTGAGGGGCAAGCCTGGTTAATAGATAACTCTAAGATAATTTTAGTTGTTTTGTTAAATTAACACCTAATTCGAACGTTGACTAGAAAATGAAAACTAGTTTCATTGTTTGAGACGCAATCACGTCCCAAATGAAGCGTCGTTATGTGTAACGAGTCATTACGTGGGAGCGCTCTTTGACGCTGGGATCAGGTACATAACAAACGTAACCTCGCATATTAAACCGGAAACATTAAGATATTTGGCACATTTAGTTCATGGGGCCATTCTAGCAAAGCGCGGCAGCACAATGAATATATGTATGATTTTATGCTACTCTAACTTTGGAAGGACAATGCACATTGAGTATGTTATGTTGTAATTTGAAATGGAAATGGAGTAGGAATTCGCAAACAGGTTAACGAGGATCATGAATTAATATCTAAAACTATTGTAAAGATTCACGGTAAGCCCGAAGATTTTACGTAATCATTGTACTTTATTTATAGTAAGAGGACGCCATAACTAGGTCGTAAGGTAAGAGTTATAAAAAATAATTTATATCCCTTATAAAAGTAGGCGAACAAATTAAAGGAAGAGGAATGGCTATAGCATTCAGGGATTTGGCTTACAACCTATCGTATTTTACTTTGGATGGCCAACAGGATGTCGTCCATTTATATATTATAAAATCTCACTCTCTATCTTTCTTCACATACCTACAGGATATGACACAAGAAATTTTGGATGATATGTTTCATTTAAAGATTACGGCCACAACATTACCAACGGAGAATATATTTCTAGGTGTTACGCGTACAAAAGAATCGACTTTGAACGATATATAAATTAATCTCTGAGAGGTGACAACACAAATGGAAGACAGAATTAATGAACGTACCAAAAATCTTACTACAACTGATCGTCTAGGAATAAAATCAGACTATAAGATCCATTTGAACAAGAATTACAATAGCCAGAAACGGTTGCCTCCAACAATGAAGTGTTTTTGCACCTATAACAAACAGAAAACTCGCATTAATAATAAATCCACATCGACTAATTACAACGAAACTTGTGCAATTAAACTATTGTAAGAATAAATGGCATTGTGCAATAAAGGTAGTTTAGTTTAACAAATGAGATGCCACTGAAAGATAAACGACGAGAATAAGCAATAAAGCCGCGAGCAAGCTTCGAGAGTAATGAATGAATGCGCAAAATAAAACAAATGACTACTTTGCATGACTATTTTAAATTAAAAAATGCTACAGGCAAGAAAGAAGCAATAGACAGATTCGCAAAAATAAGGAAGCACTCGTGAAGTGAGAAGATAAAACAACAAAAGACAGTAATAGAGTGAGCGGCGCGGCTGTTCTCTCAACCGGTACAATACATAAATATCGAGTACAAGTCACTATTCGACTTTTTATTTCACCGTTCCAATAAGAAGCCGCAAAAATCATTGGGCCGTGGTGAGGTAAACGGGCCGTTATCATTCCCGCTCCGATGCTCGCCGGCTCTCGAATACACAATTCCTCCTTCTAAAAGCATCGTCGGTATTTTTGTTTATATTGTACTAGATAAGAGTATCAGCGGCTTACGGCTTCGTAAACAAAGGACCCGCGAATCTATTTCGTCCGATGACACATTTATTCCGCTAGTTTAATTTGCAGATCAATAAAACTTGTAGATAAGGGTAGGCAAATAGTTGGAGCGCACACTCGAGTTTCATATCGCCTAATATTTATTCAAAGGCGCTCCCTGGTCTCTATTTGATATCATATTATTTGGCTGTTCAAACACTTTTTCCACGAACCGGAGCTTCAAGAATTGATTGTACGCGGTCTGCGTTGAATATTTATGAGAGTTAAGTGTGTGTATGTGAACCGTTGAATGTTTAATCTGTATTTGGAGCTTGGGTACATTGAGACGACCCGGTCGGGTCTCGACCGCACGCTGGTCCGACCCGGGAGACCGGGGACAATGTTACCTGTTTCTGAATTCAGAGCATCGGTCTTGCGTTATTTAACGTGATTTCAGAAATACAGCATCGCTGTCTTGGTAGCTTTCCAAGAAAATTTGCCATGAGGTCAAATGGGTAGTTCTGAATGCTCGTTCGGGCAGTGAAGTAACCAATATGGCCTCGTATAAAATTATACCGCTCGTTCCGGAAACAGGTTGAAATTTTTCTCACCCTGAGTGGATTTCGTTATCTGTAAAAGGCTTTCGCCCTAACTAGAATTTTATCTAGCAACGTGTATAATATTGAATGAGTTTAAAGTTCAATTACATATTTCAATTAGTTTGTGTGCACTATGGTGTCAAGGTCTTAGGATAATGTTATTAAGTATAAGAATAATAAAATATCCGGGTATGAATACTCGTGTCCATCTCATTAACATTTTTTCCCTTCCAGTACCTATTTAAAACCATAGACAGTCGAAAATTGTACTATTGAAGCTGTCTCATCCAAGACTTTAAAGTGTATTTAAAACCTTAAAACATTAAAATACCCACGGCTTTTTCCATCGCGGTAAAAGCTGATCGCTAAGACCGCGGCGCGACCGGCGTCGTCACATATTCCGCGCTCAACCCATTTCACAGAGTTGGAGTACATTTATTTTTTACCATCAGAGGGGAAAGAGACGGTTTTAATAATGCAGTATATTGTTACAAAGAATACAAAGCTAGCAAAGCCGCGGCTTTCGTCTTTGTGCGCCGCATTATGAACTTTATGTATTAAGAATTAAGTTTTGGATCTTTAATAGCACGTAATTAGGTTAGGGTTAGCCGAAGATTTAACTTGGATTAGGTTTATTGTAAAATTCAGCGGTAAAAGCGGGATTAGCGAAACAAAAGTGAAGAATATTTGATGTAAATGAGAGAGATGTGCGTGAGGGTAAATGGTAATGGAGCAATAACAATAAAAGCGTGTGCGTTGTTTCGACTCCAAAAGCAATTTTAGGTTTTTCCGTGAAGCTGACTTTATTTCAAATCATCAAAATGATTTTTTCTTTTTCCGTATTTTTGTGAGTAACTTGCGTTTCAGTCAGGACCTATTTAGCTATATCGTCATAAAAACATGACAGTAATGGTAGTAAATAAAAAAAATCACAGATAAAATCGTGCTTGGTAAAAACAAAATGATTTGACGCATAAAATAAATCATAAACGGAAGCTGCAATCTAAAAACACACAGTTTATAAAACACCAAAAACATGCAGATCGTGTTTGCGTATGTTTGTCATTTTAAAAAATGCGACGATAAAATGATAAAGCATATAGAAGAAACCACATTTTGTGTCCATATTTTAACACATTATTAATTACCCTTGAACAAAATAAAAGAAATGAAAGGTCCATAAGCCGCAATAGGGTAGTTGACACCATCATACAAAAAGCCTAAGATCGCAATAAAAAATTGCAAACGTCGTGACGTCATATTTTCGTGGCCCTAATAAAATCTTTAAATGGCATTTTGACAGCTCATAAAAAGTAAGTCAATTGACTAGTCATCACTTCGAATTAATGCAAGATGTGCGTTCTCTAAACTATTTTGTTCTGGCTATAATTTTTTAACCGTGTTGACGTGACTTTGGCGGAATTCAATGTGGAGGTCACTCTGTAGGCTGTAACACCCTAGACCTCGCCATAAACAAAAAAAGAAGAAGACCCCAGTCGGTCGCCGTAACAACAATGTTAACAGTAATTTGTGTCCCTGCAGTTAGTGGTAAGATAGCCAGTTCCTCTGTAGTTCAGGATTCCGGGTGAAGCTCGCTTCTACCTGCGGCCTGACTATCAGTTTCCAAAAAACACTGTTGCCCGTTTTCATCATTAATCCCTAATTTTTAAGTGACCTATGGTAACACTAAACAGGAATTTTGTTTTCACAGGGGTCACTTAAAAACTAGGAATTGATGGTGAAAACGGGCATGTGTCAACTACCCTATTGTGCAGTATCATTTGGACATCGAATGTGGTTTCCCTTCGTACCTGAGACGTGGTGCGGGTGCGGCGGGCGGTAGACGTGGTGCGCGGCGTCGCGCTCGGGCGCGCGGTCGAGCTGCGCGCGCACCACGCTCGGGCGCTCGGTGCCGGGCTCGGCTCGCACCACCGCCCGGCTCGCGTTCGCGCGGCGCACGCCTGCAACACGCCTCATTCATGATGCGAGCCGATGCGAACTATGTAATTTCAATGTGGCTAAAAGCTAAGAGTAGGCGCACACCGTTGATTTTTCGTCGGCCGATAGTTTAGTCGGGCAGTTGATCAGTATGGGCATGTATGGGAGTGCGCACACTACGCCGATTCGATTTGGCCGATTCTTCATACAATTTGAAATCGGGCACAGCTATCGGCCAACTAAAAATCAACGGTGTGCGCCTACTCTAAATGAGATCTATGTATGACGACAGCACACCAGTAATGTATATTATTTTTGTTACAAAACCCCTATTACTATTCGTACATATTATTATGAGACTGCCGTGTTTAGCTTGATGTGCTATCGTCTGTACCTACCTACTACTAGACAGGCTCCTCTAAACTAAAATAATGAAGTATTAAAATCGCATTTAATCGTTAATGAGTTAAAAGGAGCAAATATGTCACTCACGAAGTTTGTGGTCTACATAAAAATAATATCGTTGGACGAGATCGTCGAAGCATCATAATTTACTTGCGCATTATCTTATTTAATAAGACTCATAAGACATTTTACTTAGCTAGATTAGATATAGGTAAATACAGTGTGAGTCACGTTAAAGTGTACATATGAAAATAAATGAAACTAGACCTCTTTTTATCAACAAAAAGGAGGTCAAAAATTTTTTGAGATTTTTTTTTAATTTTTTATAGAATTTTTTTTCTTCCAATTACTTATTGTAAAGAAAACGTAATAACTTTTAAATTAAGCGGTATATCCTGATAAAATAAAAACAGTAATAATGCTAAATAACAAGCAATATTAAAAAAATACATAAAATACACAAAAAATGCCAACAAATAATAAAAAATGATACTTTTTGAAAAAAAATGTGCTTTTAAATTCGTGTTTTTTTGGTTATTTGATAAATTTCTCCAAAAAATGCCCCATCAACAGGTGGTTTTTATTACTTTGTATTATTCGTTATCGTATTATCTTTGTAAAACCACAAATTGCATGTCTCTATCCCTATTACAACATTTGCTATGATCGTTTGAACAAAGGCCTGCCACAACATTATTCTCCGCTACAGGTAGAGACAATTTTAATTTTAACTAAAATGCTTATTTTACTTCGAAATCTTTTGTTTTTATTTGAAATCTAACTTGTCTTTATCAAAATTACAAATCTAGAGCCATTTTCAGTTTCGTTGTTAACGAAGCGTTGAACGGCGCGCCCGAAGAGGCTTAGTTCAATCGATCATTGCAAACGTTGTGATAGGGATAGAGACATGCGATTTTTGGTTTTACGAAGGTAATACGATAGATAATAATACTAAGTAATAAAAACCACCGGTTATAGGGGCATTTTTTGGGGAAATTTATCAAATAACAAAAAAAAAACACGAATTTAAAAGCAGATTTTTTTCAAAAAGTATCATTTTTTATTATTTATGGGCCTTTTTTGTGTATTTTATGTATTTTTTTAGTATCGCCTGTTATTAAGCATTATTACTGTATTTATTTTCTCAGGATATATCGCTTACTTTAAAAGTTATTACGTTTTCTTTACAATAAGTAATTAGAAAAAAAAAAAATCTATAAAAAATTAAAAAAAAATCTCAAAAAAATTTTGACCTCTTTTTTGTCGATAAAAATAGGTCTAGTTTCATCTATTTTCATATGTACACTTTAACGTGACTCACACTGTATAGTGTATATTTGAAAAGTCTGAAACGTTTAGTTCAGATATTCGCGCGCACCACGCTCGGGCGCTCCGTGCCGGGCTCGGCGCGCACCACCGCCCGGCTCGCGTTCGCGCGGCGCACGCCTGCAACACGCCTCATTGATGATGCGAGCCGACGCGAATGTTGTGGTTTTAATGTGGCTTAAAGCTAAATGAGATCTATTAATATGACGACAACGCAATACATCAGAATTATACATTTTTGTGGCAAGCACATTTTTATGGCAAGCTCGCCTCTATTACAACTATTTAAGTCACTGCAGTGTTTAGTTTGATGTGCTATCGTCTACAGGGTGTTACGTAAATGGGTATATGAGCCGACACTAGCCCATGTTAACATGGTCATATAAATGGTATGGTGAAGTCAGAAATTTGATATCATCATTTTTTTTTCTTAATTTTCATACAAAATAAATTTTATAAAATCCGATTTGTATGAAAATTAAAATAATTAAAATGAAGATATCAATTTTCTGCCTTCACCATACCATTTATATGACCATGTTAACATGTGCTAGTGTCGGCTCATATACCCATTTACCTAACACCCTGTATACCTATTACTAGACATACTCTTCTGAATTTGGTACGGTACACCCGTACGGTGTACCCAACGATTTTTCAGTTGACTCATACGTTTTGGCGCGCTTTTAGCAGCTGACTGAATAATGAAGTATTGAAATCGCATTAATCGTTAATGAGTCAAAAGGAGCAAATGTGTCACTCACGAAGGTTGTGGTCTACTTATAAATAATATCGTTTAACGAGATCGTCGAAGCATCATGTTTTACTTGCGCATTATCTTATTTAATAAGACTCTTAAGACATTTTAGTTAGCTAAATCAGATATAGGTAAATATAGTGTATATTTGAAAAGCCTCAAACGTTTAGTTCAGTTATTCGCGCGCACCACACCGCCCGGCTAGCCTTCGCGCGGCTCACGCCTGCAACAAGCCTCATTGATAATAATATGCGAGCCGATGGGATGTGGTTTAAAGCTATATGACGTCAATGTCGGCAGCAAATCACACACTACATTTTTGTTTTAAAACCGGCAAAACCTGCGAAGGTTGTGATCGACTGACATTAAAAGTTTAATGAGACTGATAAATCGTAGGTACGTAACCGCAAATGTCCAGGCTGTTAAGTATACAATTTTTGTTCTAAACAATTTGTTTCTTGTATTTTTAGATATCTTTGATAACCATGCTCGAGCGAATGGCCGAATTGAGCTTGCACGAGACCAAATTTGACTTGCAACACAGCCTATGTTCGTTGGACGTATGTCAGAAAATGCATGGTGCGATTTTTGACTTAATGAAAGCAAGAAAACGTCAAGTTCAATAAGTTGAACTGTTAGAAAATATAACAGACGAAACGGCAGACGCCTCATTTGATCTTGTCTTCCTTTGCATTGACAAAAAATTAGTGATTTACGAATGAAAATGAATTTATTTATTGATAAATGGGGATGTTGCAGATTTTATGTATGAACGACGAAAATATTATTGATGAAATTCATGCTGAGTAAGTTATTATTCTGTAAACGTCCATAAAAAATCTTTTGCCTAATAATGCTGTAAGTAAGGACTAATTGAGAAGCTATTTTATGTATTAAGCTAAATATCTAATATATTAGATGTTATGAAATGTTAATTTAATTAAAATTACGCATCAGTGAACAAGATTATTGCTAAGATTAATAGACAGAGGCGGGCTCAGCGCAACGTTAAGCTCGAATGCATGCAATGTCTGTATTTCGCTTAATTTAGCCATTAATGGCTTGTAACTGAATTAAAGGTAATCGTTTAAGATTAATCCATGTGCAAAACCATTACTAATAATGCAAAAGGTTTGAATCCATTGCTGATTTATCAAATCTCGAACAGACTGACCACCGCGGGCGCTAAATAGAATATGGACCATAATTACAAAATGACGATAAAAACTAGATTCAATCAAGTATAGGTTCAGGTCTTTCACTGATATTTATACCTTAGTTCTTTAGAAATTTCCCTAAATGTAAACAAATATGGCCAACTGATATTGACGAATTTTTAGTCTATGTCAGTTGATCTACTAGTGATGCGACAAAATCTCTCGTTAATCGCAATTCTGTAAATGTCATTTACGGACTGCAACAGACGATTATTAGATTTTCAAAGATCGTTTGTATAATTATTAAGATCAATCCCTTTTCTCATTGATGTTGAGATCAGTAATGTGATCGTCAAAATAGGATCGTCTTAATCAAAGAAAATTTAATTTTCCCTTTTTTATTTGTTTAGGAAATATAATTTAAATTATACTGTGGGTCTAGAGTAGACAAAGTGCACAATAAAATCGTAAACCAGTCGAAAAGTGGTCGAAAGGCCTTTTTTATGTGACACTCGTCTGTTTAATAAAGCTGAATTCATCACTTCTTCGCAAAGTGTGTTGTTGCATTCAATGAAGAAAAAATACATTGTTGAATATAACCTCGTTTATATTTTATTTTAAATTAATATTATCAAATTAATTGGTAAATGAAATAAAATCGATTAAATTTACAGATTATTATCTATGAATATTGTCTATGACTTACAGATTTTCCAGAGATAGGACCTAAATTTAAACGTCAAATGTCTATTTGACATTTTAACATGTAGCACAAATTTTCACCATCCAAATATTTTGTTAAAATATTTTGTTTTCAATGTAAGATTTCATATTTGTTTCATCATGAGAATAAAGTTGGTTTCATGAGCTTGTGAAATAATGTGTATGATATTAAGAAAACGTGAGTAATTATATAGTGTAATTGTGTGCACAAGTGTTTGTTTACATCGATGGAAATTTCTAAAGAATTTAGGATTAGTTAGACTAATCAATCACAGAACAAAATATAAACTTATTATGGTCAGTAACTATCGCAAATCATGATTGATGACGAGTTTATTTACTCGTTACATACAATTTCGACCAAGGTATTTCTTTGAGTGAGTTTCTTTGATTTGCCCATCTATTGTAAATGCAAGCGAATAATACTAAGTTCTCCACTTATTCCTAATTCATCTGCCAAAGAATCGAAAAGTCGACACGAAATACATTTTAAAACGGCACGTAAAAGAACTGAATACGATCGGCTAAGGGGACTGGGACGTTAAAGTTTAATTATGCCGGGCCTGGGCGTATGGATTTCAGTCAAGACGAGTAAATGCTACCAGTTTTTTAGATCAAGGCTTTTAAAATTGTTTAGACACATACTTTTCAATGATTCAGTATCATCATCATCATTATCATTTCAGCCACAGGACGTCCATCGTTGAACAAAGGCCTCCCCCAATGATTTCCATAATGGCCGGTTGGTGGTCGCCTGCATCCAGCGCCTTCCCGCTACCTTTATGAGGTCTTTTTATTTTTTAATTATTCAGTATAACTCAGATAATATTATGTCTCCTAGTATTTAAGGCTTTAAAATGTAAAGTAAGTAATGTTGGAATTCCAATTTCGCGCAACTGAAATTACACATAAATTATGAAGACCGAGACGTTTCACTTCAAGAAACTCCGCGACGCCATTGCTAATTTACTACAGTCGAAGCACACCAGCCTGCGCATTTTCCTTGCAAAATAGCATCTATGACAATCAAATAAGATGCTAGTGTTTCGATTGATGTGCCGTCGTCTGTAAATTTAGTCTTGGGTACCTACTGCAGTGAACAATGAGAGGCACATTCGTACAGATCTATCGAATGCCTTTATTCAGCATCTAAGTCGCTCCAACGATGTGAGAACCTGCCTCAGGTATCTATTGTACTTAGTACAATCTCCAGCATAATATAAGATTATTTACTTTTGTTACGACACTCGTAATACATACTAAGCTTGATATGACATTGTCCTTTCATTAGCCTCACCTTCAAACATGAACTTCTTATTTTAACTTGTATGTCACGTAACTGATTAAATGTAACAATAATTAAATGCTTCTAACATCCACACTTTCTATGATCTGAGCATCCACATTATATCTTACGACGATTATTCGCCTGAAATTAATAGACAAGTTCACGACACTGTTATTACCTACCTATAAATAAAAGTTATGCACAGATACTCCTAGTAAAAAAATAAACATATTTATTCTCATAAATAAACAATTTATACGCAAAATGAGACACTCTTCGTAGAATTGGTGTAATAAGATTGAATGACAAGACGGGCTCCTGTATGTTTGCTGCCTAAAATAATAGATTCTACTTAAAACAATATCGCTAGCCGTGAAACTGGTGTATGCGAGAACAGTCGTAATATTTTGATTTGAGCTTACGTGGGCTTGTGTGGGTGTAAGATAAGTGCGTAGCATATCTAATACAAAATCCGAGCACGGTAGGCTCACAAGTTATTTTTTTTAATTTGGTCATTTATTATTGAATTTCAGAGAGACCGTGGCGCTAACGATTTACGCGTTGCTCTCGCCTACATTATATTAATTAATTGTTGTTGTTGTTTTTTATTGTTGAAAGATGTTTATTATCACGATCCTACTTTGACAAAACTGATTCTCGTCAAAGTAAGCTAGTCATGTTTTTAATACAATAAGAAAATACCTAAGTATACTGGTGCTGTCATGCTTTAATGTCATCTTAATTTGTAAGTATATACCCAATTTGTTGACAAATCTCACACACACCTTAATTTAACCACACACTCGCTAGCGTTATTAAAGCGAAACGTTTTCATGTAAGTACCTCGATGTATGCACCTATTTATTTATTAGCCTATGCGAGGCGATAAACTGTCGAAAAGGTATGCATTACCAAGCTTAGGTACGCTTCAATTCACTCTGGTTTTGTCTGTCTCACTAATAGCTTTTTATTTTACGTTTGAGAAAGCCTACTGGATCTGAATTTGTTGTATATGATATAATGTAGTAAATGGGTGTGAAGAGTATCGAATTGTCAAGCATAAAAGGCTAGATTATGAATAAAATAATGAATATTTTCGTACTCACTTTCTTTGTGAGCGTTGCTTTTCATTTCAGTGGCCTTCGGAGACGTGGAGGGCATCGGTATTTCTGAAACAAAATAAAAAAATTGTAACACCACGCCTGTTATCTGTAAAGGATGTCTACATAAAATTTAACGAGCGGCTGCAGGTTTCACTTTTCGCAAGTTTATAAAAACCACTATATTCATTAATTCCTTTTCATACTGCAAAATAGTATCAGTTTACAATTTTTGCTTTGTCAAGTTATTATATTCTACATTCTATGCAAATATCTACTCCTGATACTCAGCTCTAGAAAACTTTATTTTCTTCTGCGATATTTTTTCACAAAAATATAACAAAGTGGAGATAACCACTTTAATTCTGTACCAATATAGCAAAAGCAGCCTTACGTTCGGATTACCCTGTTTAATCACAAAGTTCCCGAACAGGAATATTCCTGTCACAGGTGTTAATTTGCGCGCACACATCAAACCCGCCGTAAACTGAACGTCGCGTCTCCGGGAATTTTTAGAGATGCATCCCTTGCTTACAAGCTTTAAATATTTTACTAAAATACTAAAAAAGTTTTACGGTAGCATCGAAACACTCAACAAGTTGATTATAACTTTTTTAGTAGTCTGCTTGTTTTGTAGTTTATTTTAAAAGCAAGCAGACACTAAATTAAACGTATACGAATTTCCAGACACACGATTAGTGCCTTGTTATTTTAAATAATTATATGGTAAAGGTATGTGCTACCTCATAAAATACTTGGTAATTACCTAGTGAAATCCAATGCATTGACTATAAAAGTAATTTTTCCCCACCGTTTTTTTGTGAATCAACAGCTGTTTACACGCCCGACGACCTCTAATATTTAAAGGTATTTTCTTTTTTTGTGAGTCGGTATAAATAATACAATTTGACGTGATATTTGAAATTATAATGAAAAAACATGGACTGAATGGTTTTTCAATATTTTTCTCTTTTTACGAAATGGTTTTTTTTTAAAATAAAATAAACCTTTAAGTTTTTTTCCATACGTTATTATTGTGCCAGTTGTTATACCATAAAAGTTTTATATGCAATACACACAGTAAAACCTATTAATCTTTTTTACTATAATAATTAATCATCTTTATTATAATAATTCAGTTCCTATATCCACCAACCTTTCTATTACTATACGTTCATCCAATATTCACCACTCCACAACGAGACTGAAGTGTATAGATAAGCAAATTTTCGGGCTCGACCCCATCAGAAGACGAATCCAAAACTTTTTCTGCATTAGAGTGCCCTTACTTTGGATGTTTACCAACAATCCACTTACCGTAAAGCCTGATGGACCCCTCGGTCTCCCCGAGGGAGTTTTTGGAAATGCACCTGTAGTTCCCGAAGTCACCACTCTGGAGGTTCCGCACAGTGAGTTTCATGTGTGCTCTGGAGAACAAATAGTTTTGTTATTTTCCTGCTTTATCATTAAGTAAAATAGTAAGTAACTACCCTCATATTGTCATTTGTTACACTACCACTACCACGACACGGCTGCAGCATCGCAGCCGAAACGTCAAGCCGTGAGTACATAATGTAACTCAATAATAAGCGTCGCGTTAAGACCCGTGTCTTACTATTTTAGTTGAAATGGAACACGAAAGTTTAAAATCTTATCATTAATTAGTCATTCTAGATAGGTATAAACATTTATGTATGTTACGGTACGTCCCACATCCAACATTATCTACTTATTTTAATCAGAATAGAACAATGCCACAAATCGGCTTAAAAACTTTGAAAATCCAGCCGTAAACCCTGCCCTAATTCTCGATTCACCTGCTTTATCGAGAAATATTACACAAAACAAAACACATTAGTGGAAATCCAAACAAAAAGGCCGCCAAACGTCCGCGTTCACTCGTCAGCGACGTGAATAATTGATCAGCCCATGGTGGGACGGGAATAAGTGGGTATATTTGGGACCAAAACCGATTTATCGATAAACACATCATAGTTCTCTTTGTTCACGAGTAAAAAATTCAAATCTTATTTTCATCAAAACTTGGTACCTATATTAATTTTATTATCACTACTAGCACATTTTCTTTTCGAATTGTAATCAATATCTGCTTCATAGTTCAAGTAGTCTGTTAAATTTTACTATTACTTAAAAATATCCGAATGTGTAACGAAAATGACATACTGTTTTGTGTAAAGCTTTTAGAGTTATTAATTAAGTAACAAATGTTAAAAGGTTTTGTATATCAAAATTGCAGTTGAAGTTCTGCACGCAAAAAATAGCGCAGGCAAAAATCAGAACTTGAAGTGACTGATGCCCACCTCATTATGCCGCGGTGGCCAGGACGTATGGCGGGCTGGCGGGACATTTCTCACTTCCTAATAGTTTTTGCTGCAGCGGACCTACTTTGTAAAAAGTAATTTAAGCGTTTAAAATAATCATTATAACATAACTAAAACGTAGATATAAAATATAAAATATGATTGATTCGATGCCCCGATAGATGTTTTCTCATCTTTTAATATTGAAAGTAGCAAACATATTGGTGAGAACCCTCGTCAGTCTAAAAAACTTGAAAGCTGATCAAACTGAATCAATCTCACGGTTAGTTAATTGACCCTTAGACTCACAAGTTTGATGTAACAGCCTAGATAACTTCTCAAACCAGAGCTTACAAGAAGACGATCAGAGTATTACTGACATTCTGAATCTTGTTAAAAGTGATGCTAGAAATTTCAATTGAAACATTTTGCAATCAAATTAAAATCGTCATCATAATTCTTAGACGGTGCCCCAGTAAATTTCTTCGTCGGTTGTCGAAACCATCAATTACCCCTTCCGCCGCAACAATTAATCGTGCGGGGCCAACAGGCTCGTCCTGCAGATTTACCGACGCCCGAATTATTAACAGCTCCGCATCGGAATGTCTGGCCAGGCCCTACTATGCAAAATTATTTTATAGATTTGGCTCTTTCATTCTTTTGTGATGCTTGTATAATATTTTGTACATCACTAAAGTGTCCCAGATATGACATTGACAGGAGGGTGCTACTATGAGTAGGTACTGAGTTATTAGTTCTGATTTTTCCCACCTGACGTTTCAGAATTGTTTGACTACTTAAATCACTAATAGGGTTCATCGACAAATAGATTTGTAGAATGTTGAAAGTCAAGCTATTAGATCCTGATCATAGTAGAGTTTGTCACAGTGAAATGATTTATTGGAATCATGGAGTGTCTTCAACTACTGTAGCCTTCGGTGACTTATGTCATATAGTAAACAAAGCAGGTATCTAACGTAATTTCCTCACTTGTGTACTTTTAGTTTTAGTGCCTCTCTGTACTTACTACCAGTACATACTCTCGTACAAGTCGCTACAAAGTTTATAGTGTATAAGGGACATGTCGGCAACGGTGTAATATGACTCAGACTTCAAAGCTGGACAGTCGTAAAACTAGTAGTAATGTTATTGAGGAGTGAAAACAAAAACGAAACGGACACGAAATACCTACTGATGAATGTTATTGTAATGGATTCTATATCCCAGGGTCCGAGGGTATATCATATTTGCTAATATTTCCCTTCAAGACTGTATTTATTTTGAAATGTTCCAGAACTTACCTATAAGAGTTCTCCTCGGTGTTGATGGCGTACTTCTTGGTGGGCAGTACCATGACGTTGTCGTACACCCAGTAGGAGATGGCTCTGGGATGCGCTTCTGTGTGGCAGTCCACAGTCACGTCGGTCCCGGCCGGCGCCCCCACCAGCTGGTTCGGGACCCAAATCATTGGGGAAACTGCAATGAAGAGGGATGTTTTAGAGATTTTGTCGACTTACGTATTTTACGCAGATGGCTCGTGGAGCTTCATGGGTCAAATTTTGAAAGACACTGCAATTATTAGAACAGGTTAACTAAAGAAAAGCTTGTAACACCATATTTTGTATGTGTGTAACACCACCTTTATGAGGTTACTAGCTGACCCGGCGAACTTTGTTCCGCCTTAATGGCAATAAATAAGCAGACTTTTTTTTATTTCGAACGGGATAAAAAGTATCCTATGTCCTTCTCCTGGATCTAAACTACCTCCCTGATAATTTTCAGCTAAATCGGTTCAGCCGTTCTTGAGTTATAAGTGGAGTAACTAACACGACTTTCTTTTATATATATATATATAGATTTGGTGTTCTTTAGTGTAAAATACTACAATCATGAGTAAGGGCTGGTCTTCCTAAAATAAATAAATGGAATCAAAGATGACCATCAAATAAACACTTTATAACTGCGTGAGGCGATCGTTATAACACACTTTATTGTATAATGTATACCACACAAGACAAGAAAAGAAAAAGAAAGAATATCGATAGATTTTGTAGGTACACGAATTTTCTTTTTCTTATCTTTACACAAAATGCAGCGTGAAAACTTCCAAACAAAGACTAACACCCAACAACTTCCATAAAGCCATAACAAGGGAATATTACAGCACAATTCTTTATCTTTGTCTCAAGAACAAACATTAATTTATATCCGGCAGGCAAACTTTAAAGTTGCGCCGCTAATACCGTATACATTGTACATCGCGAGACTGCGGAGGATCCGGTTACCCGTATTAGTTCCGGGATAGGTATTAAACTGCGAATAAGAATTAGCTGGGAACTCAGATCATAGAAGGGAATAGATGTGAAACGGGGGCGTGGCGCGTGTCTCCGCGATATGCCCAGAAACGAACATCGCCCGCGACGCCAGGTTAGTCGCGATTCAGTCGTACTGAGGAAATGTTCTCCGATATTGTTGGATAATGCGTCGTAACGTGCAATAACATAAGTGAAACGAAGAACTACAGGAACAATGAAGTCATTTACCACATGTAAGTATTGCAAATCCATTGGTATTTTGCTTATAAATAAAAAAAACTAAACATTTTTACGAACGAATTCAGTGCCGTGACATTTACTGCGATATCGAAATTAGTGGTGATAAAAATTCAAACACGTTGTACATTGACGATTTAGTTAGCAACCACTTTATGTCATGCGTAACTACTGCGCAATGTATTTTATTTCTTCCGATATCCACTGACGCGTGAAAATACACAGTACGGCCGCATGTGCCGGTCGTAACATAGTGCAGGGCTCGTGTTCTAATACGGTTTCCTATTATCGATAAATAGAAGTAAATTATTATTTTCTATTTTCTAATTTTGAATGAAAAAATCATGAGTTGCTTGCGATTTTTAAGTTTTTACAAAAACAATAACAATAGTAGAAGGGATTAGTAACTGTCAACTATGTAATTACTATAAGAGCTAGTTGAAAGCCTAATATAGGCATTATTTTTGATAAACATAGGCGGTACGAATTTCGCCATAATTAAAAAGTTAATGCGCGATAGTAGTTAATAATAATTACAGTGATCCTGTTATTATTATTAAAGTAAATAATAATATATTACCAATATTGTAAATACTGGTAAAAATCGCAAGTACCTACTTAACCCATGACTTTTCATACAAACTTTGTCAGTCTATAACTTCTATACTCCATCGATAACGACATTGAGCTTTGGTTGGGGTAAATTAATATAAGGTAACTTCATTTAGTCCCAATAATTGATTCTGAGTTTTTCGTCCATACAAAATGGAACTGACTCCTTTATGCAAAAATCGTTAAAGAACATAATAATAACGTATAATAATAAACAGGTTTTCATACAAGCATTTTTTAAACCAATTTCGAGCCTTGCCCCCAGGATTTAAAGTATCGATATCTTATCGACTCCATTTTATCTTTCTTCTCTCTAATTGCTTTTTTCAAAGTGTGCGTCACGTCACGCGGCCATTGATTGGCCATAAGGCACGCCTTCTGGCCAATCACAGCACTTTTAAGCCGGTTGCACATGTTGTCGTAGACTCTCAGTCGCTTTGTTTTTACACAGTTGAATGTGTGTGTGGGAGCTGTGGTGGGGGAAATGTGGGGGCACTGGTTCTCGTTGTAGTTACGCGCGACTTCATATCTATTCTCTTTCTATGATCTGAGGCTGGGAACTAAACTTCAGTACTGTGGTAGGTGTGAATGGGGTCGTTGGGGTCGTGGAATAGGGCTGTCACGGGCTAAACGTGTTTTATCTATCAATTGAGAAAGAACGCTCAAGTGTGAATATAAACTCAATAGATTCAACTTAGCTAAAGCTCAACATGAGTTAGAAATAAATTAGCTGTATGATGAATGATTTTTAGTCAGTGTCTAGCGGACCATTATATTCGGATAATATTGTAGGTGTACGTTTTTGAAAATCATTTATTGATATTGGATTGGTAGGAAGCTAGATACTACGAGATTACAGTGTTTGACAACCATGTTTATAAAATACGAGTACATACTCGTAGCTTTAGAGCTAAGTTGTTAGTATAATCTTGTAAAAGCAATTTTGTGTGTGAACTCTATACACTATACGTTTACACCACTTTGGTAGTGGTGGAGTAGCGTCTTTTGTCTAAACACTCGCATAAAAGTGATATCAGAAGAGCTTTAAGCTGTAACGAACACGACATTTAATAAGAACTAACAAAATGTACTCCATTTGCTTCTGTAACTTAAATTTTCTTATAAAAAACCGGTGGGAAGATATTTCCCACTCCCAAGGTGTGACGAGTCGGCGCCCACTATCCATCATTATTGAAAGTTTATAAATTGCTTCGCCACAAGTTCCCGTGGACTGTGCCGCTATTTTATCCGGTCGTTGATTGATCGGACGGATTAACCGGATCCTTGTGTTTTTAGTCTGTATCCTTTGGACGGGATCTTTCTTTATCTGATTGTGATCTTCAAGTGTTTTACCATTTGGAGCTAAGGCTAGGGCTAGAGCTTCTTCTTCATTGCTACAATAAAGTAAACTATGTCCTACGACTACCAATTTGAGGTAGATCCATGGTTTCAAAGTAAACCAGATGCATCTGTTACTTTATCTATGGCATCTATACGTATTATAAGAAAAGTTATTTAAATTCTTACTATAAAATAATAAACAAACACATATTTTGTGGATCACTTTTCAGCAAAGACAAAAAACCTTGACAGAAAATATAATTAAGATTATTTTTGCATAATAAAACTATACCGTTCTACCGTTACAGCTTTAAAAGACGCAAAATTATTAATTTATATCGTCCGCTTTAAATTGTATTCAAACTAACTATGCTGTTTGTTCAGTTCAGTATAAATTACGAGACATTTGCATTTTATGTAAAGTAACATCTTCATTTTTGTTCAAGTTGCAGACTTGCGTAAATCCTATCCTTTTAGCATACAACTCAATTGTGTGAAGAGAAATAGAGACAACATTTCACTTATTTATTCATTTATACTTTGAATTATCAGGCCAGTGTCAGGAGAATATGTTTAGGGCTTTGATCCAGCAAAAAAGACAAAATGTTCAGAGCATCTTATTTGACTCTTTGGTGATCCATCAATCATAAATCATAAAAACAAAAAAAAATATAATTACGGTCAACTATAATTGGTAGTTCAGGAAAGAAACTGAAATGGACAACAAATTAAAATTACCAGAAACCAACTCGGATAAATTAAGAAAGATACCAGCAGCTAGTAAAGTAATTTGTGAAAATTTTAGCGTTGGTTGTGGTGCTTTGTTATTAAAGACCTTGATATGACATTTTGTTTGTAATTTCAGCTTAACGTTAAAGTGCTGTACAGTATTATTATTCGTCCGCAAATTTTTAGCCGTTCATTTAATTTGTTCGCTAAATAAAAGCCCTCTTCACACAATCTAAAAGACACTACAGTCCCTGAGCGCGGCTCGCCCCCTTATTTTCAATTCTTATTACGGGCCAGCTGACTAAATAGACGAAGGTAATTGAAAGATAATATTTTTTCAGTGTGCATGCGCGCGGTTTGAGACCGCTATTGGAAATAAATAAAGCTGCAGGAATTGTGCTATTGCAGCTGGGACGGATAATTGTGATCGATAACGTTGCTTTTAATCTTAATCATAGGTTTAAGCTATTCATCTCGAAATTCAGCTTTAGTGAAAAGGAAATCCTTTGATTGTCATTGACGTTTTGTGTTAGAAGTGCTACACAAATCGAAAAACTTCATTTTCATTCATTCGTTTTAGTTTGATATAACCGTACAGTAGTCACAGTGAAGAAAGTGGCCATAAGTTCCAAAAGCTAGACAGTCAACAACGCCCAAATTCAATGCCCTGCAAAACTATGCCTTATTAGCATAAAACACGATGCACACAAGCTGATAATGTGCGCTAATGCCTGCGTTTGTTATTCATGCCGCTGTGTGTCGCTGGCAGCGCCGGGCGCAAAATTTGTCCGGTCATAACGTTTGGTAGCGCAGGGGTTTGCACGGGTTAGAATTGATCATGAAGTTAAGCTGCTTTGGAAATGAGCATTTTGTGATGGGTGACCAGTTGTGCTGTTAGATTTGGGCTTAGGCTTGAATAATGTGTACTAAGAAACATATTATAAATAAGCCCCTAAGCCTTTTTAAAGTAAAATAAAACGTAATTCTTCCATTAATACACTATAATAATAATGTATTCCAAACCCACAGCTTACAGTCTTCTCGAGCCCATTTTCATGAAATACTTTCCCAATAAACAAACTTTGTCAACATAAAAAGCTAATACATCAAAGATTATGTATTATGACGTCGTAAACAGCGCCGTAATAAATATTTGAAGCTATTGAATGCTAAGCCGCGTGACGTCGACGACTTTAATATTGTTCGCGAAAATTGTCGCCATAAACTTTGGGAATGTTACATTCTCAATTATGTGCGGTATCCATGTAAACAAAATCTGTTTCATGACCAAGTGAATAATGTAATGCAAAAATAAATAAAAAGTTGATTCAATTTTAAAACAGAGTTTAGACTTTGAAAAAAATGTTGTACAAATTCAACACTGCATTTTTAATTTACATACCATACCATACCACATACCAAGAAAAGTCCCTTTATTTTAAGTTTTTCGTATTGCGTTGGTGTTTTCTATTACTAACTTGTATAATACCTATGGGAAAATACAGTCATAAACGTTTTTAATATTCTTTATACCTTGTCTGTGCTACACTGTGGACACAGGCTACATCACTTGACATGCTGCAATATTTAGCTTAACCCCGTGTCATCTGTACAATATTTTCTTAGCTTGAGAATAAACGGTACTGTGTAGGTTGAAAAAAAGAAGTCAGACGAATGGACTACTGCACGTTGGCCCTCGACCACGGCGACTTTTTGTAGCGATGAAGTCGCGCTGCTGTAGCGCGTTGGCATCACATTTCTGTAGTGCGTTGCAAATGCGACTAACGCGCGTTAGTAGCGATGCTGTCGCCGTGGGCGAGGGCTCTTAGAATGAGGGCTATCGTTTTTATACTTAACAGTTGGCACCCTTGGAGATTGACAGGACCTTACTCTACAGTGGCGCCATCTTGATGAGTGCAAATGCGATAGTCCTCCTACCACTTTCCACTTTCGCGCTCACCAGTTGGTGCCACTGTCTTCGCTACTAGCAAGTGACAGGACCTTACTCTACAGTGGCGCTAACTGGTGAGCGCTAAAACGATAGCCCTCATTAGAGTTAGAGCATGTATAGAAGCAGTCTTGCTCGGTAAGTACCGTGTAGGTCTGTCCATCATACCGATAGGGTTGGTAGTAATCAGCCAGCAATGTGTGTGGTCTTTTTATCGTGCTGTTACTCACATTCCACGTCCACGATGATCCGCTTGGACACAGAGGGCGGCACGGCGTTGGTGGCGATGCACAGGTACGCTCCCATCTCTGTGCGGCTGATGCGCTGCAGGCTCAGGGTATCACCCTCGTACACTGTCACTGGAACAACACAGAATGGGGATGTTGCCTGGGTCAAAAAGCAAGAGTTTTAATTAGTCCGTCAGTTAACTTATCAAAAAATACTCTACACGTATTTTTCACTTTTTCAAACTAATGAAAATTTAAAGAGATAAAGCGCCCCAAAGTTCATAAGAAGAGGCCCGTGACGTCAACGCTTGCTTAAAAATGCCGCACGTTGTGACGTCGTGCGCAACTTCAATGCACCATAACTATGTAATTATTTGTTAGATTGACAAATAAAAATATATGTGTCCAATATTTTTTGATATTAAACATTACGGACTAAAAAAATTTTTTTAGGCAACTAGCCTATCTTCAGAGGATGTGTGGTTTTTCCAGAGCATTTATTTATATCTTGCTCTACCCCGTCATCATCGTCATTTTAGCTACGAGTGTATACCGCTGAACAAAAACCACCCCAATGATTTCTAGATTGGCAAGATGTTACGTCCACCCACAAGGTACTCGTCAGTTCTGCAGAGCAAATCCTACTCTACCACTTAATTTTTATTATTTATCAGAATGTGAGATGAAATTAGAATATTATTCCATGTATTATTCATTATATTTATATGATCAGCCGTGTAAGCCATTTTCGGACGCAACAGCGTGCAGCGTCGCCAAGACGAGGAGGGTGGCAGGAGGAGTTGAAGTTGGCACCATGGCCGAAATCGGACGGATGAATCATTTATCATTATATTGATTCTTTGTGTGCAAACCTGAAAAACTGAACGAGTAAATGAAACTTTCGGGTATTAAAAAGCCTGGGGATATTAAGCACTTTCACAGCGATACAATTGATGGCACTGTAACAATAGGTTCGTACATTAAACTGCGAACAAAAGTACAAGTGCATCGCAGTGATAACATTTGCAGGTTAAATGGCGAATGGATAAAGATACGTACTATAGAACAATTTCATGAATGTATTGTAATTTGGTGAGAATAAGCACATAAGAGTGTATTTTTATTTCTCTGCCTAAGGAAAAGTAATTAGTGTAATCAGTCATCACATCTTTCGCAATCAGCGACTTTAAATAAATGAAATAGTTGCAGAACAAAAGCATACAGCATTAACCGTTAACAAAAGGCACTGAGTGGGTTTTAATGGGCCGATATGTCCCAGCTGAAGTCTCATTACACCGTCCGCCGGGGCCGTAATTGTAAACAAACTCGTCGGCTGATGGAGGAACGACGCGACGCGAATTTTTAATTTTTACGACTTCTCGCCCGTTACGCCTTTTATCCTGAATATTTTATGGGGCTTGCATAAAGCGCAGATCACACTAAAAGCGAAACCACTACACCCTTTATTCTTACTTTGCGCATACCCACTGGTCGATGGGGACGACCAGTGAGTTGTGGGACCCTCTCCGCGACCAGCAAAGCTATTGGCTAGGCTAAACAATTGATTTCTTTCACACTTTTTGGACGTTTAGTCGGGGAAAGTTATTATTAGGATCGAAATAATAACTGCGATAACTGAATTAATATTTAGTACCTATCACAGACTAAGCTATAAAATCTTTGCATTCGGTGTAGTCTGCGCTTAAGAAACAACTTTTTGCAACAAAATACAGAGTTTAATTACATTTAAAATATTGCGGTCCATTTATGTAAATTACAAGAATTACGACAGCTGATCATAAATTTTAAAAGCAATGATTAGTTTTTAATAATGCATCAGTACAAGAAGTTGTATTATGGTGTTGTTAGGTCTACAAATCAATAATACGAGTATAACGTATTTTTAATTTATCTTTAGCTTTATATCCTGTTCAGCTTAGCCGGCTCCTATCGACTTAGCTTTTTTACCCTTAAACAGCACTTTGAAAAATCATTATCCGCGTAAAGTAACCTTGCTCAGTATTCGGAATGTATTTTTAACAGAAATTTAGTTCTGGTGGGGAAATGAAAAAAGTTGTACAAGTCGTTCCCAAACTCTTGCGGCAACTACACTTTTAAATCGTTGGTAAAACTCAACAGGTTATATCCAAAGGCAGGTATGCTTGAGGGGGTTTCAATTCCGAAATGTTTTATTAAAGTTTTGCAGAGAGCGTTCCCAATATAAAAAAAGGAAAATGATTGACTCACACAAATATGCGTACATGCGTAGTCCACCAAAGATGCTGCTGGTAAAAGTGTTAATTAATTGCCACAAACTTTAAATTATTCATGGGTTTCATCACATATTTTGCTATTGAAAATACCAGGAACGATTTAATGAAAAAATATTGTACGTCTCGTTTTAGTGTAATCTAAGCGCTTTACATTCTTGTTACCCGCGTCCTCACACCGCCACATTTGCGAGATAAAATCTTAAAAGGCGCCCGTTAAAGAGATTTTTCCACATAAAATTCACAAACCTCATCTGAGCACTTATTTCTTGAGTAAAATGTAAATTGTAGCAGGTATCTAGTCCAAGTCCACTATTATAATAAAACCTGGAGTATAAAGCGTTCTAATCCCGCTCTATCTTCCGAAGGATTAAACCTCGTTGCTGGGAAAAACGCAAGTGTGAGACTGCCCGCGATTACAGGTTCTGCAGGTAGTGGGGCAGTGTCAACTTCAAATTAAGGGCATTGGGTAAGTTACTTGGGTAACTTAAAACCAATGATCTTTCATTTGTAAAACAGGAAATTTTCCACATTTGCGACTAAGTATAGGAGCAGGTTGTAGATTTCATTTAATTTTCATTCACAGATTTCATTGGTGTTTATCTATACGTATACCAAATCATAATTATTATCTTACGAATTTAACCTATCTTGATACTTCATATTTGTGAAGGTTTGAACAAAAAAAATTGTTAACATTTAGTATTCTAATGTTCAAGCTGCGGAACCCTAAAAAATCTGGTTTGAGAATAATTATGGAGCGGGAAAGCTGAGTTGTGCCGACGAATTAAACGATTCGAGCAATTGGTGGCTGTCGACAAAGGCCCAAAAATGGAGTTTAATTTGAAGAGATTTTCTTGTACACGGTAAATTAACGTGTGGTTTTGGATGGTGCTTGTCCTCAATTGCGTGTGACCCTCGGAGCCGTCAGCCGCCGCGATTATGTCACGGAGGTTAATTACTCGTCGCATCGAAAAAGTACGGTTTTGTTTGCGTTGATGCGGAATCCTTTTGAGGGGTTCGGGCTATTGTCGGGACGTCATCTGCTGTGGAGTGTGATCCAGTATGTTTGGACGGTATTTTGAGGGTTGGCTAGATATACGGAAAAACGTGGAAAGTTACAAAACATTGAAATGCTTTGTCACAACGCTTTGGCTCTATAATTATTTACCTACTTAAGATATTCCTGAAGATACAGATCCAACACGAGAAAGATACACCTACAGTCTACACTACGAGTATCTTCTCCTGCACTATTTAGGTGACCAATATGACTTAAAACGAGATTGATCCGCGATGAAACCGAATTTTTAGTGCGTGACTTTACTCGTTCATAAAGTCTCACTCCTGCCTATCTTTTTGTTCACATGTTAATAAGAACGCGTTATCTGATTGTATACTTATTATGTACAACGGCTGACCTTTCTTCCTCCGGTCCACGGATATGGCTGGCCGTCCTCTCGCCGCCACATGATCTTGGGCGCGGGGAACCGTTCGCCTTGCACACCAGGCTGATGTTCTTACAGTTTGCAATTGTCTTAAGGCTTCCACAGACCAAACGCGGGTCAGAAGCAGTGCGGGTCAGTTGCAGCGCGGCTTAGGCACACTGAAAGCAGCGCAGTTTCAAAGCAGTTGCAACGCGGGCGGTTGTCAAAAATTTCAATATTTGAAAACCGCTTTCAACGCGCTGCTACCGCCCTGCCTCCGGTGTGTCATGCTAATAATTATGGCCGCCATAGTAATACAAAAACGCGGGTCCGCGTTCGCGCCGCTTCTGTCCCGCTCCCGCGCCGCCTCGTTTGTCGTTCGGCAGTTGCAGTGCGGCGCGGTTGGAGCGCGGGCCCGCGTTCAAATTTGGTGTGACATACTTCAAAAAGTTTCTTGTATTACTTGCGGGCCCGCATTCAAACTGCGCTGCTACTGCCCCGCGTTTGGTCTGCCCAAGACTTTAATGTATAATAATATGTGATAACGGCTGACCTTTCTTCCTCCGGTCCACGGATATGGGCTGGCCGTCCTCGCGCCGCCACATGATCTTGGGCGCGGGGAATCCGTCCGCCTTGCACACCAGGCTGATGTTCTGGTTCTCGCGGACAGCCACCGCCGACTGCGTGCTCTCCTCATCTAGGATGTTGGGGGGCACTGCGAAAGACAGGTGAACTGTGAGTTATCAAAGTCACTTAGTATTCAGGTCAGGATCAGGTCATTCAGTCTCCACTGCTCCACATAACACCATACCCTTTTGGAAATTTATGACATTTACACTAATAAATTAATGAAAGAAATATACTCTAGATACTCTTAAGTAGTATTTAACTAAGAGTTTGGCAGATAAGCGCGTTTATCAGATGTGGGGTGAGGCTGATCTGTAGCAGAAGTAAAATAGCTTATAGAAATGCGCCACACCACTTGCAATGTTAATTTTCTTGAAATAGGATTAGGAACCAGCCATTCTGTGACCACGAACCGTATACTATGCTCTAGTCTACTGGCTCTCTATACTCATCTACACCAAGATCCCCTTACCTGAAACGGTAAATTTCCAACTTAAAAACCCATATTTTGATATAGAAAAATTCTTTAGCACACCCACTCTACCCGTAGTGGTCTAATGCAGGGAATTCCTGAGCTGCGTGCATTTTTGATGCAAGTGCAATACGCCAGGAAGCCAGAATAAGCTAGCTGTGTTGGCTTAAAATATTGGTTTATTTAAACCAAGTGGCGTGACACCGGATTGTGTGGAGCAGGATGAAGAAATATTAACTTTTACTCTTTTTGAACGGTTTTAGCATTCTGTTCGAGATGGTAAAATGGTAGAAAAAATATAAGAACACAAGTATGACATCTATCGTTTGATCATAATAGCGAATTAAATAACTTATGAGCTAGTTACTTCAGTTCTTGCTGTTAAAAAAAAATTGTTGTAAGTGGAGGACGATTAACGAACGTGTTTCAAATAAACGTTTGTTTGGTAACAGTGTTGAGTGAGTAAAATATTCAGGAAAGGTACTTACTTTTTCTTTAAAAAAAAGTTATGTACCTACATGCGTATAATTTGTAATTGGTCGATAATCATCGTCTAGCCGACATTTACGGATTAAAGTATTAAACTGAACAGAATCAATCGGATCGTGATGGCGATATCTGCCGATGCCACTGTTCCCCAAACTTCGCTGCAGGCTGGCACTATCAGGCCCAAGACGGCGCGGCGCATTCGGGAGGTGAAACTTTGCAAACTTTTACCGATCCATAGGTTTCCGATAGACTGGACCGCATAAAAATGTTTTTAAAGTTTTAAATCGTTTCTAGTGACACTTTACTCACGTTTTCTTTTATTTAAATATTTTATTAGTTAGAAGGTACTAAAGAGCATTAACCAAACTTGTGATAATAAAAGTAGCTAAGAAGTTAACACAGTTTTTACTAAGAGTATTTTTAACTTTTTGGCACACATGTTTCTTTTCGTGAGATCATTGCAAGTATTTTACATTAACTAATGTTAATCATCATCTCATAATCTCAAATCATGTTTTACTAATTGACTTTTAATTCGTAAACTTGGGAATCACTTTCTGTATGTGAGGCATTTCTGCCCTCAAATAGCGGAGGCGTGGCTCTTCCCGGCCGACGGCGGAAGCATCCTTTATACGGCCGGCGTTCCCACCAACTTTTAAGTGGGAATAAACCGTCCTTTTCAGCCATTCCTTAACCTCAGCACGTTGCAACGCGGTTTTATTTCCATTTTATTTCTTTGGAAAGGCCCTTTGAATCAATCAAGGTGTTGCGCACTTTTGATGTTTTAAACTTTATTGCGAGGGGCTGATTTAAAGGTTTCGTAACAAAACAATGTTTAAGGAGTTTAACCTTATGAAGAGATGGTTAACTTCATATCATAACACTCCTCAGCTATCAATTGGACACCCACTCTACGTCAGAGTCACGTTGGAGTGACAATTTACCTAAATATACTTATCCTAAATAGATGATAAAAATTATATTTCGTTCAATTAGTCAAATTTTTAGAAGACGACCGTATCCATCACTTAAGGAGTGGAAAACATACATACATAGTATGGATATTTCTAATCCTAACTCTTTTCAAGTATAACTGAAACTGATTCATGTCAGTATCTTATAGATAAGTAGATAGAAAGTATTTATTTGTCTCAAAACAGGTTACAAATTACAAGTTATCACAGTTCGTGTATTATTTAAATTACATCTGCACTCATCGCATAAAATTATGCTAAAGCTAGCTCAAAACCTTATAAGGTAATTTATAAAAGAACAAACATCAAATATTCTTCCAGAACCTAACAATTAAGTCAACTAGGTTCAATAACGAAGTTGTCAATTATAATGAAGAATTCCAAAGAGCCTGCTAACTAATACCGGCCATTATAACGGCACCTGACTAATTTATCGAAGCAAAGTGATCAGTTTACGGTTCCCGAGTAATTTCTTTAATAAAACACGATACAAAATAGACTCTTTTATTTTTTGCTGTAGTAATTTCCTTGGTTATTAATTCTGCTTCGATAAATATAAATTGAACGCCGACCTTTAATGCGGGAAAATTCGGTAACGTTTTTGTGAAAACAGATTTTTGTTACTTTTAAGGACTTGAAAGTGATGTTAAAAACCTCAAATTTTCGGGGTATTTTATAAGTACTGTCTCCAAAAGTAAATCAAGAGAAAATTCAAAGGTAAAGGATGAAGAAATAAGACTTCAAATAGGAAAGATTATAAGTAAAGAAGAACACAGAAATAAAGTAAACATTGGTTAGTTTTGGAATTGGTTTTGAACGTTACTGAAGTAAATTACTAGCTAGTTAACTATTATAATAAGCTAATTAGAAACAAAAATAAAGCATAAGAAAGGCTTATAAAACTGCTTCAAACATTAAACAAGTATAATTAAAAGTTTACCTACCCGAACGAACCACCACGATATTGTTATAATCTTGCCTATTTAAACTTTATTACTTGAACCAAAAAATCTAACTTCAGATATTCTTGCTCTTTACCTTTGATCTATAATAAGGTTATTTCTTAAAGAGGAAAGGAAACTAACTGCTGGAATTTTATTTCGCATTTCTCGCAATAGATCTTACAATTTATTGGATTATAGGAAAGATTCGATTAATTTGTCTTTCTTTTTGTTCATTACTGTATGTAGGACCTATTATAATTTACTAATTTCTTAATCGGATCATAATCTTTATATTATTATAGACAAATATATTTATCTAACTTAACAAAAAACTGATATTATAAATGAAAAGGTTACATAACGCAAAAACCACTGGACGGGACTTAAAGCTCATCAGAACACATAGGTTACATTAAGCAAGACCTTCTAACTTTAGCCTTGTGGTTTCGAGCGAGTAGAAAAAGACCGACCCCTCGCTTACTGTGGGCAGATGTCGTGAGAGTAAGGGCGCTTCTAAGTGCAGTTGCAGCGCCACTATCGTGAGTTCGTGATAAACGCAAACAGTAGTGTAGTAAAATAGAGAGGGTCTTCTGCCCCCAGTGGAGACTAAACGACTTGATAGTGATTAATAGCTTTCCGTTTTCTATGCGGACACAATATCATTATCACTTAAATAATATGATCATCTGGTAAGATGCAGGCCAAGCTTCTCCGTTGTAGATAAAGAGTTAAGGAAAATCACAAGTGTGAGCTAGTCAACCAAAGAGAACTCACCGACGACCTGCAGGTAGCCGACCTGGCTGATCATGGGGTTGGTGTTGACCTGGCACATGTAGTAGCCGCGGTCCTGCTGCACTTGGCTGACGTCAGCAGCCACGCCATGCGTTGTCGTGCGCGAGCGCAAGCTACTCAACAAAGAAAACTCACCGACGACCTGCAGGTAGCCGACCTGGCTGATCATGGGGTTGGTGTTGACCTGGCACATGTAATAGCCGCGGTCCTGCTGCACCTGGCCGACGTCAGCAGCCACGTCATGCGTTGTCGTGCGAGCGCAAGCTACTCAACAAAGGGAACTCACCGACGACCTGAAGGTAGCCGACCTGGCTGATCATGGGGTTGGTGTTGACCTGGCACATGTAGTAGCCGCGGTCCTCCTGCTGCACCTGGCTGACGTGCAGCAGCCACGTCATCGCGTTATCGTGCGACACGCTGAAGCGCGCCAGCCGCGTGATCACGTGCCGGTGGATCGTCAGGATCATCTGCCGGTCGATGTGGATCCATGCCACCTGAAGCAAAGACGTTAATTTAGTGGTAAGGTTAAAGTAATACTGGGATATGTAAAATCGCTTTAAAACTTTATTCCACGTACAGCAGGGTAGCATCCTTAGACAAATAATATTTTTTGTCAATAGGTAGGNTTGAACGCCGACCTTTAATGCGGGAAAATTCGGTAACGTTTTTGTGAAAACAGATTTTTGTTACTTTTAAGGACTTGAAAGTGATGTTAAAAACCTCAAATTTTCGGGGTATTTTATAAGTACTGTCTCCAAAAGTAAATCAAGAGAAAATTCAAAGGTAAAGGATGAAGAAATAAGACTTCAAATAGGAAAGATTATAAGTAAAGAAGAACACAGAAATAAAGTAAACATTGGTTAGTTTTGGAATTGGTTTTGAACGTTACTGAAGTAAATTACTAGCTAGTTAACTATTATAATAAGCTAATTAGAAACAAAAATAAAGCATAAGAAAGGCTTATAAAACTGCTTCAAACATTAAACAAGTATAATTAAAAGTTTACCTACCCGAACGAACCACCACGATATTGTTATAATCTTGCCTATTTAAACTTTATTACTTGAACCAAAAAATCTAACTTCAGATATTCTTGCTCTTTACCTTTGATCTATAATAAGGTTATTTCTTAAAGAGGAAAGGAAACTAACTGCTGGAATTTTATTTCGCATTTCTCGCAATAGATCTTACAATTTATTGGATTATAGGAAAGATTCGATTAATTTGTCTTTCTTTTTGTTCATTACTGTATGTAGGACCTATTATAATTTACTAATTTCTTAATCGGATCATAATCTTTATATTATTATAGACAAATATATTTATCTAACTTAACAAAAAACTGATATTATAAATGAAAAGGTTACATAACGCAAAAACCACTGGACGGGACTTAAAGCTCATCAGAACACATAGGTTACATTAAGCAAGACCTTCTAACTTTAGCCTTGTGGTTTCGAGCGAGTAGAAAAAGACCGACCCCTCGCTTACTGTGGGCAGATGTCGTGAGAGTAAGGGCGCTTCTAAGTGCAGTTGCAGCGCCACTATCGTGAGTTCGTGATAAACGCAAACAGTAGTGTAGTAAAATAGAGAGGGTCTTCTGCCCCCAGTGGAGACTAAACGACTTGATAGTGATTAATAGCTTTCCGTTTTCTATGCGGACACAATATCATTATCACTTAAATAATATGATCATCTGGTAAGATGCAGGCCAAGCTTCTCCGTTGTAGATAAAGAGTTAAGGAAAATCACAAGTGTGAGCTAGTCAACCAAAGAGAACTCACCGACGACCTGCAGGTAGCCGACCTGGCTGATCATGGGGTTGGTGTTGACCTGGCACATGTAGTAGCCGCGGTCCTGCTGCACTTGGCTGACGTCAGCAGCCACGCCATGCGTTGTCGTGCGCGAGCGCAAGCTACTCAACAAAGAAAACTCACCGACGACCTGCAGGTAGCCGACCGGGCTGATCATGGGGTTGGTGTTGACCTGGCACATGTAGTAGCCACGGTCCTGCTGCACTTGCTGACGTCAGCAGCCACGCCATGCGTTGTCGTGCGAGCGCAAGCTAGTCAACAAAGGGAACTCACCGACGACCAGCAGGTAACTGACCTGGCTGATCATGGGGTTGGTGTTGACCTGGCACATGTAATAGCCGCGGTCCTGCTGCACCTGGCTGACGTCATCAGCCATGTCATACGTTGTCGTGCGAGCGCAAGCTAGTCAACAAAGGGAACTCACCAACGACCTGCAGGTAGCCGACCTGGCTGATCATGGGGTTGGTGTTGACCTGGCACATGTAGTAGCCGCGGTCCTGCTGCACCTGGCTGACGTCATCAGCCACGTCATGCGTTGTCGTGCGAGCGCAAGCTAGTCAACAAAGGGAACTCACCGACGACCTGCAGGTAGCCGACCTGGCTGATCATGGGGTTGGTGTTGACCTGGCACATGTAGTAGCCGCGGTCCTGCTGCACTTGGCTGACGTCAGCAGCCACGCCATGCGTTGTCGTGCGCGAGCGCAAGCTACTCAACAAAGAAAACTCACCGACGACCTGCAGGTAGCCGACCGGGCTGATCATGGGGTTGGTGTTGACCTGGCACATGTAGTAGCCACGGTCCTGCTGCACTTGCTGACGTCAGCAGCCACGCCATGCGTTGTCGTGCGAGCGCAAGCTAGTCAACAAAGGGAACTCACCGACGACCAGCAGGTAACTGACCTGGCTGATCATGGGGTTGGTGTTGACCTGGCACATGTAATAGCCGCGGTCCTGCTGCACCTGGCTGACGTCATCAGCCATGTCATACGTTGTCGTGCGAGCGCAAGCTAGTCAACAAAGGGAACTCACCAACGACCTGCAGGTAGCCGACCTGGCTGATCATGGGGTTGGTGTTGACCTGGCACATGTAGTAGCCGCGGTCCTGCTGCACCTGGCTGACGTCATCAGCCACGTCATGCGTTGTCGTGCGAGCGCAAGCTAGTCAACAAAGGGAACTCACCGACGACCTGAAGGTAGCCGACCTGGCTGATCATGGGGTTGGTGTTGACCTGGCACATGTAGTAGCCGCGGTCCTCCTGCTGCACCTGGCTGACGTGCAGCAGCCACGTCATCGCGTTATCGTGCGACACGCTGAAGCGCGCCAGCCGCGTGATCACGTGCCGGTGGATCGTCAGGATCATCTGCCGGTCGATGTGGATCCATGCCACCTGAAGCAAAGACGTTAATTTAGTGGTAAGGTTAAAGTAATACTGGGATATGTAAAATCGCTTTAAAACTTTATTCCACGTACAGCAGGGTAGCATCCTTAGACAAATAATATTTTTTGTCAATAGGTAACTAAGGTAAACGGCTACTAGTTCGTGATAGTACGTAAGTTCGTAAGTTTTTTTTCTAGCTCAAATAATAAGCAAATGGAATATAATTTATAAAAATTCTTCATTACTACAAAAACTCTATTATTTAAGCTATCTAAAAAACCAAGTACCAACATTGTGGCGCCAAAAATGAGAGCAATACGAAGCTTCAAACTCTCAGAGAGCCAAAAACATCTTTGCGGCTTGTAAAGGTTGCTCTCACCGTAAGGTTAGCGCTCCAACTTCTTAAGCTTATAAAAAGGCGAAGGAACGTCCATTTAAATAAAACTTGTAATGGTGGTTTCATGTGTTCCTTGACAATTGATTTGGCTTAGAAAAAAGTTATATGAAAACGTAGAATTCCTTTAAAATTGCGATTAATTGACTCACGAAATAGCGTACATATTATTTTTCGGGTGTCCCCTATTTCGTGACACTACCGATTCAAGGATATTATGGATAACATTTTGATGCTTGGTTTTTAAATAATTATTTATGATAATTTAAATGTAAGTTATGAAACAAATAATGCATTTATTTAAGTTTCTCATGACCTAAATTCGGTATATGTTTCGTTCACTAGAATTTATATGACACGAGTTTGAAGTTCACATAAATGACCAATTTTAAGATAAATTAGCATAAGTAGTACCAGCATTATTTTGGTTTTATTTCGATTTGTTTTATTTATCTTTCTTTAATTGTATTGTACATGGGATAGATAATAGTTAATTGACACATTTTGACAATAATCCATGAATTTAACTTGGGGAATTTGGAATAATCAGTATCACGAAACAAGGAACCGTATTATTGTTACTTTTTTCCAAGTTCGTGATAATAAATGTATGGTGTTAGGTACTTTTATGACACATACCATCAAAGAAATCGACGTGTTTTTTAGTTTTTAATACTTAGCTACCTAAGAAATTAATTAATTACTTACTTTTTATTATGAGTCATTGGCGTATCTGGGGTTATTTTCAGTGGGGGGGGGGCTACCCTCACTTGAAACAGCTCCAGGGGTGGGATTATAAGGAAAAGGGGGGGGGGGTAATCCCCCCCTCCTCCCCATAATCCCACCCCTGGCATCTAATGGCTTGTGTAAATATTTTCACATACTTATCGTTACAAATAACAAATCAAAATTTTATGGGTACCAAGGGGGGGGTGGGGTAAGTCCCCCCCACATTTCTAATGGTTATATAAATATTTTCACATATCGCTAGAAATAACAAATCAACATTTTATAGGTACGAAGGGGGGAGGGGATAAGTTCCCCCCCCCCCCCTACATTTCTAATGGTTATATAAATATTTTCACATATTGTTCGAATAAACAAATCAAAATATTATACGTAGGTACGTACCTAGCTAGACTCACATTATTTCTTTTTAATATTTCAGGTAAGTAATATCGTCAATTTCACATTATTATTTTATTCTAAATTTATATTATCGTTTTTAAATTTATTAAACCCTTAATCATTATTAAAATATCCTAACTGGATGCATAAAACCTTATCCCGAAATAGGGGACATGAGTTCACGAACTTAGAAACAGAGCAAAATTTTGTCACGAAACAGGATCCAAACAAGAGGTCCGCAGAACAATTAATATAAAAAAACGTTCAAACTGTATAACTATAAATTATGTATTAACTTACTGTCAAAAGACCAAAGTTTAGCATACAAAAGCTTTCATACTGATATCATGCTTGGTTATTTTTAAATAAAATGTTAAAGTCGTAAGATCCTTAATATACCGAAGTAGGGGGCACTTACCTTACTTAGTTCCAATTTGTCCTAAATTTTTTGACATTTTATTGCAAAAAATGATAATGTTCATAGCAAGGATTAATGTCAGATTACCGTCATTCAAACATTTGCTTAGATTCTGATTTACGGTAGGATAATTATGTTTTTTTAGAACAAAATATTTTTTTATTATTGCCATAAATACCTACAAACTGTATCGCATTATTATGACGGTTGTTCTTTCAGATTGCAGATTTCTTTAGATTAAATTTATAACTAAAATACCTTTGTTCCTACTTCTAAAATAACTAAAGGATTCTCTTTATAAATCAGGAGTAGGGCTAAATCTGTTCTTTCTCAGTTAATTTGTTTTAGAATTACCAATTCGTACTGTGTTTTAACCATTAGACGCAAACTCCAATATAAATTTAACTCCACACTATCGGCAAATTGGATCGCAACCGCGGAGCATCTATTATGCGATAGTTTGTTGAGCCGGATTTATCTCGGCGCGAATATCTTTTAATTTTAGCACACATCGCGGTAGTCCAGCACAATAGCCTGGCGTTTGAGATGCGGTCTTATTCAGATGCTAAGTTATGTGATCGCTAAGAAAATCGTGTAAGCAGAAGAAGTAAAAATATGATAAAGTCCGGCTTATTTTGTTTTATAAAAGGCTAGGACTGGGCTGGACACGTCAGTTGCATGTCTTATTAGGTCATAATATCAAAATAAACAATCGAGAGTTATCTTAATAAGGGCTGATTTTTCAATCCTCAGATATCTTTTATCTGATGAATAGCCTTGTCATTTTGACATATTTCCCATACTGAAACTGTCAATGTGCCAAACTTATTCTTCAGTTAAAAGTTATCTAAAGATTGAAAAATCAGCCCTTAATCCTATGTTATATGTATTATAAGTGCCTTGAAAAGGGCCTATGTAAGTACTGAATAAACTCATTTTATTTATTTTTATTTTATCGCAGAGTCCAGAGTTATTACAGCCAGTAATAAAATGAGAAGAAGTGATGCATACTGAGACATTGCATGGCAGTATCGATGTTACAGGATTCATAATAGATTTCAAGATCATCATTTTAAAACATTAATAGCTCTGGCCTGAAAGCTTAGAACAGAATAGAATAGAATAGAAAGTATTTATTTGTCTCAAAACAGGTTATAAGATGTTTATTTGAATCTCTCATTCACTTCGAGGTTTTTACGAGTAGGAGCGACAGAGTCGGGAATCGCATTGCGGAACCGTCCGTGAAACCACACCAAGTAACAGTCGTGCGGAATCAGAGTTCCACCTTATCCCCTGATCTCGTGATACCGACGAAAGTTCATAGCCTCGTAAAATATGCATCGTATCGACTGTTGCGCACTGCGGCAGCGACTCGGCTTGCGGTGTGGTACAGCCGGTGACTTTGTCGACACAACGATGCGTGCTGCGACTCAGTTTGTCTCGCGGGTCTGTTTGAATTTCGACTTTAAGGTGGCGTTTGTGTAGCTATATGCTCCTAGTAATTTCAATGGATTAAGTGGTACTAGATCAGAGCAAAATTGTACCACAAATTAAATCCGAACCATAAAGTTTACCAGACCGTTAGTTCTAACGTTCTAACCAAGATATTTTTTAATATCTGTGAGTAGTTACACTATCTTAAAATACAAGCCACACAAAGATCACAAAAACCTCCTCTCAAATTGATCAATGAACCAACGTATGTTCCACGAAATTTCACATTCAAATCAAGCCCGTTCCACTAGTGGGACAAACTAATCGTTCCATTAATCATCGCTGCCCCCAATCACAGAAACTCCGACAACGCCGTAGATCAAGCGAACACCGAGTCTATTAGCAACCTTACATTCACTTTCATAAATCAATTCCACTATTAAGTCGAGGACTATTAACAGGAACGACGATTCGTGATTAAGTGACGTCATAAGTTATATCTCGCGCTTCCTGCCAGTAATAACGGCGCCGGCTGTAAGCCCACCTCGCTGAATTAGCCGGCTGACTTATGATCTATTAGAAATTTGAAAGAAAATTTATAACTTGAAGCAAAAATAAGTTCCCCATGAAATATGGAGCGAATCAAATTGAAATTCAGTTCAGTTTTTGTTGGCAACTTTTCCTGCATTCTCTTGCGCTATGAAATTGTAACGAGTGTCTGCATCTCGTCGCTATGATAGGGACTGCAAAGTTACTCGTATTGTCATGCATACGTATTTATATTTTTGCACACAATATTTTTACTATTTATGAATTTTATGTTTTGTTTGTATGTTTGTACTGCAACAAATGATTTTCTGGACGCGGAAAGCATTTGTAAAAAGCATATTATACTGACAGAAAACGATGAAAAATTCTTTTCTTTTAAAATCTTCAAGATTTGGTGTATTTTGTGTACTCAAATTTTATGCACAAAGAAACAACGGATTACCCTTTCCTTTTTCAAGTAAAAAAGGTCCGCTTAAGAACGTTCTGTTCCGATACACCGCAGACACACGCAACGTGTCCGCTGTTGACAAAATGCGCATCGCAAAACACCGCGAGCCCACCTTAATACGGCGGATAAAGCGGCAGGGTTCACTCGAAATTGCCGTTAAGTATGTGGTGGCAAATAAAAAGGGGGAAGAGGCTTACGAGGATTTGCCACTCGGAACAAGTTCGCGGAGTTATGCCACTTCGCGGTTGTTTGTTCACGTGCCATTTGTGATGTGATTAAGTGCAGGATTAAGATGGCAAAGTTTATGAGCAATGGTCGTGTGCGAGAATTTATAATGCTCGCCTTTTTACGTTTTTATTTTTTTCTTTTTATATCTCGTGGAACTTTGTACCTTGGGTATCTAAGAATAAAAACAAAGAGATGATGATTAAGCCTTAGAACAATTAATTACATGAGGCAGAATGCAACATCGAAACATCTTTGAAAGTATAAAATATCACCAATTGGTTTGCTCCCAACACTCATTCTTAATGGATGCAACTAACTTTACCGACGTCACATACGAGTAGGTACTTCGAAAGTAACTGAGCGTGACTTACAGAGGTTATCTTGAATATTCATTTCTATTTGAGCAGTCT